TCAGATATGCCTCTAAAACAAACAATATGGATGAGAATATTTTAAAAAGGAGCTGTGTCTAAATTCCAATAATAGAAGACTTATGATACTACTGCAATTGCTGCTATTTTTAGAAAAAGACGTCCGATGAGCATATGTTTCAAATTAACTAGAAAATATATTTCTAAACAATAATTTATTGACCTAATTAATCTAAATAATTGTTTACTTAGTTTATTACATTTTTAAAATTATTAACCTTTTGCTTGTATTGCTTTTCATAATTTTATTTTTAGAGAAAGCTAATTCAACTTGACTATTAATCTCTCTTTTTATTAAATAGCCTCACGTCATAAATTTGTCTAATTCTGGTTCATTTGATTTCTACCCCATTTTCTATGCCTTTAATGGCAGATATTCCTATAAGATTATTGTTATTCTTATTAAGTACTGTTGAGTTGATTCGGACTCATAATGTTCACAATGGATTATTCATTGCTCCTAATGTTCCTTGGAAACCGTATACAGGGTCACTATGGGTCGGAACTGACTCGATGGCACTTAACAACAACAATTTCGTATGGATCAACTCAGGAAACATTCTAAGTGTACCTTGTCTCAAATGCTCATAAGGTGAAAAAGGAACAACAATTGGCCATTGCTTCCGACCCATGATGACCCTGTATTAGGTTTCCAAAGAGCAGCTGGTGAGCCTGAACCGCCAACCTTGTAGTTCAGACCGATTTTGCAGTCTAGCATATTAATCTGCAGCACCGAACCAGGACTCCAAATGAGTACAGTGGTACCTCCTTATGACTATAGTAGTACCCCCTTATCAGTAGAAAACATGTTCCAAGACCCCCATGGGTGCCTGAAATTGTGAATAGTTGTTGTTAGGTGTCATTAGGTCAGTTCTGATTCACAGTAACTCTATGCACAACAGAATGAAAACACTGCCTGGTCCTGAACCATCCTCACAATTGTTATGTTTGAGTCCATTGTTGTACCCACTATGCCAATTCATCTTGATGAGTCTTCCTCATTTTTGCTGACTTTCTACTTTATCAAGTCTAGGGACTGGTCCTTCCTGATAACATGTTCAAAATATGTAAAACTAAGTCTCAACCAATTTTGCTTCTAAAAAGCATTCTGGCTGTACTTCCTTCCAAGGCAGACTTGTTTGTTCTTCTGGCAGTGGATGGTATATTCAATGTTCTTTGTCAGCACTGTAATTCAAAGGCATCAGTTCTTGTTGTTATTGATGTTGAGTCAGTTCTGGTTCACCGTGACCCTATGCACAACAGAATGAAACACTGTGGTTTCTGCATCGCACAATTTTTGTTACGTTTGAGCCCATTGCTGTTGCCACTGTGTCAATCCATTTGCTTGGGGTCTTCTTCTTTTTTGCTGACCCTCCACTTTACTTAGCATTATGTCCTTCTCTAAGAACCGGTCCCTCCCTATAACATGGCAGAAGTATGAGAACTAAGTTTCACCATCCTTGTTTCTAAGGAGCATTCTGGCTGCACATTTTACCAAGATGAATTTGTTTATTCTTCTGGCAGGCCATGGTACTTTCAACATTCTTCTCCAACACTACAATTCAAATGTATATATTATTCTGCTATGATTGTCCTTATTCTCTGTCTAGCTTTCACAAGCATATGAAAAGACTGAAAATACCAGGGGTTGTATCAGGTGTACCTTATTCCTCAAACAGACATCTTTGTTCTTGAACACTTTTGCAGCAGACTTGCTGAATGCAATACATCACTTGGTTTCTTCAATGTTGATTGTGGATCCAAGCAAAATGAAGTCATTAACAATGCCAATCTTTTCTCTGTTTATCATGATGTTATTTATTGACCCAGTTGTGAGAATTTTTGTGTTCTTTACATGGAGGTGCAATTAATACTGAAGACTATATAGTCGTTGATCTTCATCAAGCATTTTAAGTCCTCTTCATTTTCAGCAAGCAAGGTTGTATCATATGCATATCTCAGGCTATTTATTAATGAGTCTTCCTCCAATCCTGATGTCATTCTCTTTTTCATATAATCCAGCTTCTCATATGATTTGTTCCACATACAGATTGAATAAGTATGAATGATGAAAGAATACAGCCCTGATGGACACCTTTGCTAATTCTAAACTATTCACTACCCACCCCTTAGTTATTTTCAAATGACTATCTCTTGATCTATGAACAGATTCTTCATGAGCACAATCAAGTGTTCTGTAATACCCATTCTTCACAATGCTATCCACAGCTTATCATGATCCACACAGTCAAAAGCCTCTGCATAGTAACTAAACCACAAGTAAACCTCTTTCTGGTGTTCTCTGCTTTCAACCAAAATCCATTTGATGTCAGCAATGATATCCCTAGTTCTATGTCCTCTTCTGAATCCAGCTTGAGTTTCTGGCAGTTCCCTGTCAATGTACTATTGCAGCCAATTTTGAATTAATTTAAACAAAATTTTACTTACATGTGATATTAATGATATCTGCATTCCATTTGCCACGTTGCTGTTAAGTGCTGCTGAGTCAGTTCCAACTCATAGCAACCTTGTACAGAGTTTCTAAGGAGCACCTGGTGAGTTTGAATTACCAACCTTGTGGTTCAAACTGACCTTGTAATCCAATGCTTTATCCTACAGCACCACACCAGGACTCCATTTGCTTCAATATTACTACTCAAAAATGTAGATATTTTCTTTAGTTTTTTCAGCTTGAAAAATGCTGAGTGTGCTCTTCTTTGTTGGTTTTCTAACTCAAGGTCTTTGCACATTTCATTATAATACTTTACTCAGTCTTACTGAGCCCCCTTTGAAATCTTCTGTTCATTTCTTTTACTTCATCATTTCTTCCAGTTTCTTTAGCTTCTCTACCATCAAGAGTAAGTTTTAGAGTCTCTTGACACCCATTTATCTTTGATATCTTTCCTGTCTTATAAAAGGAGTCCTGGTGTGGTGCTGTGGGTTAATGCACCAGACTGTAAGGCCATTTGAACTGCAAGCTCACCAGCTACTCCTTGGAAACCCTATGTAGAGTCACGATGGGTCGGCACCGACTCAACGGCACTTCACAACATCTAAATGACCATTTCTTTCTTCATATATGATATCTTTAATGTCACTGCACAAGTTATCTGGTTTTTGGTCCTTAGTGTCCAATATAAATCTATTCTTGACATGGTTTCTAAATCAGGTGGTATATACTAAAGGGTCAAACGGCTTTGCAGTCTGGCGCATGAACCCACAGCACCGCACCAAAGCCGTTTGAACTGCAAGGTCAGTGGTTTAAGCTCATCAGCTGCTCCTTGAAAACCCCATGTAGGGTCGCTATGGGTTGGAACCGACTAGACAGAACTTCACAACAACAACATACCAAAGGTTATACTTTGGCTCTCATAGACTTGTATTATTTTTTCTTCAGCTTCAATTTGAACTTGCATATGAGCAATTGATGGTCTGTTCTACCATTGGCCTATGGCTTTGTTCTGATTGTTAATACTGTGTTTCTTTATCATCTCTTTCCATAGATGTAGTTAATTTGATTCCTGTGTACTCTAGCTTGTGAGATCCAAGTGTATAGTTGCTATTTATGTTAATGAAAAATGTATTTTCAATAAATAGGTCATTGGTCTTGCCAAATTCTAGCATTTGATATCCAGTGTTGTTTTTCTCACCAAGGCCATGTTTTTCAACTACTGGTCCTTTTTTTCCCAACTTTTGCATTCCAATCACTCAGTAATTATCAATATATCTTGATTACATGTTTGATCAATTTTAGACTGCAGGAGTTGACTAAAATCTTCAATTTCTTCATTTCTGTCATTAATGATTCGTATATAAATTTGTACTAATTGGTCATCACTGCACACATATGGCTATTATACAATCACTGACAGTATAGTATTTCAGATCTTGAAATGTTCTTTTTTATGCTCCTCTTCAACTTGTCAATACTGGCATAGTAGAACATAGGACTATCTGATTCCAAATGGCCAATACCAGTCTAGGATATTGATCTTTATGGGTTTCTTTTAATTTTTGACAACTTCCAATTTTCCTAGTTTTATATTCCATAAATTGTATGCCGTGACTATTAATGGATGTTTGCAGCTGTTTCTTCTCACTTGAGTCATGCTATATCAGCAAATAAAGGTCCTGAAAGCTTTACTCCAGCCATGTCATTAAGGTCGATTTTACTTTGAGGTGGCAGCTCTTCTCCTGTTGTACTTTGAATGTCATTCAACTGAGGTGCTCATCTTCTGGCGCTACATCAGACAATGTTCTGCTACTATCCATAAAGTTTTCACTGCCCAACTTTTTTAGAATTGATTGCCAGGACTTTCTTCCTAGTCTATCTTAGTCTGGAAGTCTGCTGAAACTGGTTAACCTTGGGTGACCCTGATGGTATTTGAATTGCTGGTGGCACAGATTCTAGCATCACAGCAACACAAAAGTCACTAAAGTATGACAAACTGATAGATGAGTGTGATCACAGACAGTATACAGAACCCTAGATATACCTGGTTTTTTCCTATACATACATACCTATGATAAAGTTTAATTTGTAAATTAATAAACACACAGAAAGATGACAAAATAATACAGTTATAACAATATACTGTAAGCCAAGTTATGTGAGCTGAAGTGAAGTGAATGATGTAGGTGTTGTTAAGCTATTATTTTTGGAATACGGTTGTCTGTGGGTCACTGAAGTTATGGACTGTGAAACTACAGGTACAAGAGGGAACTGCTGTACTAACACAAAGAACAAACTAAACATAGTGAAATAAACGATGGCAATATATAAATTGCACATAGAAGCAAACTCAGAGGCCTTTAAATTTTTTTTCCCTCTGTTAATAATATCTATGAGCACTAGATGGCAATGGCCTAAAGGTTGAAATGAAAGTAAGAAGATTCCTCAGTTATTTAACATAGGTAGAGAAAGAAGATATAACTGTTTCCCTTCAAAGCATACACTGACTGTGACTACAGTTCTCTTACCTGGGAAGAGGTCTGTGCATCTCATAAATATCTCCCAATAAATGAGTCCAAGCGCATACATGTCTACTTGTTTCAATGCTGATTCGCAGTCCCTCAGGTTCACAGCTCCTTCGAGTACTTCTGGTGCCATGTATCTGATTGTGCCAACCTGATAAATCAGAGTGTTATTTTCAGTAACAGAATATAATTTACATACATTCTGAAGACCAGGTATTTGATCAAACTTTATATGCAAATTTTAATAATGCAAATAATGTGTGATTTGACCCTAAGCATGTCTCTGAAGTTTTTCTTGTATAAAGTGCCCCTTCTGAATAGTTAAAACTATAGTAAATGTCTTCTACTGAATACCATTCATCAATCATAAATAATGAGCTGGAGCTCCCAATATGTATCAACAAAAAAATCTGTAGCGACACAATAAGCAAAAAAAAAAGTTCCAAAACAATATGGACAATAGTTAATAGTTTAAAAAACTTACAAAAATATATTTACATATATAAAAGACATGTGTATGTGGAGTCCTGATGTGGTACTGTAGTATAAGCACTGAGCTGCTAACTACAAGGTTCAAATCTATCAGCCACTACTCAGAAACCCTATACAGGGTCACTATAAGTCAGATCAACTTAAAGGTACTTAACAATAACAACAGACATATATGTAAATATATGTGAATACAAAAAAAGGACAGGAAGGTATGTTCCACAATATAATTATGATTTAATGAGGACATTTGAAGGGATTTTCACTTTATAGCATCAGAAACTTTCACAATAAGAATCCATTCATTTATCACTTGTATAATGTAAGAAAATTAAATTTTAGATGTCCTTCTCTGATAGTTATAAATAAAGCTAAATCACATAGTATGGTAGAGGACTTAGAAATCATGAGAATAAAAATGACCATGATTCTAGGCACTATTATTGACTCAACGAGCCCTGGTGATGCTGTAGAATAAGCAATATACTGTTAACTGCAAGGTCGACAGTTCAAAGCCACCAGCTGTTCTGTGGGAGAAAGATGAGGCTTTCTGCTTCCTAGATTAACAGTCCACTATGAGTTGAAAGGGACTCAATGGCAGTGGAATTTTATCATTGACTCCAATTTTTCATTTTAACCAGGGTTTGTCAGCAGCAAGATAGTGATAAGTTTGGACAATTCTTTGTTGGGGTTGGGAGGGCTACTGTGTGCATTGTATATTTGGCAGGCTCCACTAGAGCTAGTGTGGAGTTGTAGGATAAGGAATGGACTGCTAACCACAAGGCTGGCAGTTCAAATCCACTAGCTGCTCCTTGGAACCCATACATAGGGTAACTATGAGTTGGTACCAACTTGATGGCTGAATAAGTATGGTGAAAGAATACAACCCTGTCACACACCTTTCTTAATTTTAAACTATTCAGTGTTCTCATGTTCTGTTCGAACAACTGCTTCATGGTCCACGTACAGATTCCTCATAAGCACAATTAAGTGTTCTGGAATACTCATACTTTGCAATGTTGTCCATAGCTTGTCATCTACACAATTGAAAGCCTTTGCATAGTCAATAAAGCACAGGTAAACATCTTTCTGATATTCTCTGCTTTCAGCCAAGATCCACCGGACATCAACAATGATATCCCTTGTTCCATGGTCTCTTCTGAATCTGGCTTGAACCTCTGGAACTTCTCTGTCAATGTATGCTTGCAGCTGTTTCTGTATTACTTTTACTAAAACTTTACTTGCATGGGATATCAAAGATATTGTCCAATGATTTCTGCATTCCGTTGGGTCACCTCTCTATGGAATGGGCACAAATACGGATCTCTTCCAATCAGTCGGCCAGATAGGTGTCTTCCAAATTTCTTGGCAGAGATGAGTGAGTACCTCCTGTGTTGCCTCACTTTCTTGAAAGATTTCAATTTTTATTCCATCAATTCCTGATGCCTTGCTCTTTGCCAATTCCTTCAATGCACCTTGGACTTCCTCCTTCAGTACCACTGGCTCTTGATCACATGCTACCCCTCTCATAATGGTTGAAAATTATCCATTTCCTTTTGGTACAGTGACTTTGTGTATTCCTTCCATCTTCTCTTGATGCTTTCTGCATCATTCAATCATTTTCCCAGAGAATCTTTCAATAACGAAAGCCGAGGCTTGAATTTTTTCTTCAGTTCCCCTAGCTTGAGAAATGCTGCGCATGTTCTTCCTTTTCGGTTTTCTGATTCCAGATCTTTGCACATTTGTTGTAATACTTGGCTTCATTTTCTCGAGCTGATCTTTGAAATTTTCTGTTCAGCTCTTGGACCTCCTTATTTCATGGTTCAAATTCACTAGCCACTCCTTGGTAATCTTATACAGGGTCACTATGAGTTGGAACCAACTGGGCAGCACTTAACAATAATTTTATAATTCTTATGTTATAACTGGCAGCATACATAGTAATAGTCTTGAATTGTTAATGGAAGTTTAAATACAATTCATGGTGCTTACACAGTACATCAGAGTGATACCTTTTGTATACACCTACCTCACTTATGGCCGCATTATCTTCTTCCCCTGGGCGCACAAGTCTATTTCCAGTCAGCCTCATAGACAACCCAAAGTCACTAATAACACAGGTTCCATCATTTTTCACCAGGACATTTCTGCTGTTTAAATCTCGATGGGAAATTGCAGGCTTGTAATGATCTGTTTGGACAAGTTCAGATATTTATTAGTACTTAGACAGCTATTTTTGTTACTGAGTGCATATACTGGATATAATACAAGTCTGCAGATACTAGAAATGACCTGAATACAGAAGATGATGTTATTTTTCTTTCCATTAATTTTCTAATACTAATAAAGGACACAAGAGATCAAAACTTAAACTCACAATCATCATTTTCTAAAATATTTTACTATATAACTCTTCTTCTATGTACAACTAACTAAACATTCATCTATATCTAATAGCCAACCTGCTGCTGTCTCTAACACAGACTGAGGTTTTCTCTTCATTTCTTGCGTACCAAAAGAAAGCAAGAGGAAGGAATATTTGGTATAAATAACCAAAAAGTCAACTTGTCTAAAACGAACATTAACGAAAAACTTAAGTGGCTCCAAATTTCTACAGAAATGATAAGCTGTTCTCCTACAGCTTAATTGAGCATACTTGTGATGAACAGTCTAGTTCTGCCCTGAGGTTTCGCTATGTCTCTAAGCCCAATGAATTAGGAGAACAAGTGGAGGAGGTGGAATTTCCTAGCAAGATTTAAAAACCTGTTTTCTAATTTTATACAGAAACAAGCATTATTATATCATACCTCAATTATAGCATTGCTTTTAATTATCAGTAAACTAGCTGACAAAGAACATATTTTACCTGAATTTAAAAAGCTCAGAAAAAACAGAGAAGCAAATGTTTGTTAACTGAAAAAATAAATCTAATGTAAGCTCTACATTTAAATTGTTACATATAATTTTTTTCCTACCTATAAGGAAATTCAGGGAGTCCTGGTGTGGTGCTGTGGGTTAATGCACCAGACTGCAAAGTTGTTTGAACCACGAGGTCGGTGGCTCAAGCTCACCAGCTGCTCTTTGAAAACACTAAGCAGGGTTGTACAACAACAACAATAAGGAAATTCATCTATCAGCCACTCCACAGGAGAAATATGAGACTTCCTACTCCTATAAAGATTTACAACCTCAGAGACTTTGTTCAGGGTCGTTATGAACTGGAACCGACCAGTGGCACACAACCACTAGCACCATCACCATAAAGAAATTCATAGTTCTTGAAATGAAAGAAAAAAAAAATTCTATAGCAATTTCTGAAATTCTCATATACACAAAGAAATACATAGAGGAAGAAGACCTAAATCAATGATAAGTTTATTGTTTGTATGTAGGCACAAAAAGACTTAGTATTTTGATCTACTATCCTCATCATAACAAGAAAGAAGGAAAGTTATTCCTTTGCTATCAGAAAGTAAAGTGAAAAGAAAAATTGGAAGCAAAGAATTGTTGTTGTTAGGTGCCATTTGAGTCAGTACCGACTCATAGCGACCATATGCACAGCAGAACGAAACACTGCCCGATCTAGGGCCAACCTCACTACTGTTGCCACGCTTGAGTCCATCGATGCTGCCAGGTATCAATTTCCTCACCTAAGAGTTGATTTCTTTCTCATTTTCTCCCTTTTCTCATCCTGGCCCAGCCTTCCAAATCTTGCAATAACTTTACTTCACCTAAATTCCTGTAAGAGTTTCTTTCCTTACTCTGGATAAAATCACAAAGTAAGTATGAGGGAAAATAAAGTATTGCTACTAGGATTCCAGCTCATATATTTACAGATTTATTCCAAACAGAGTGTGTTTAAATGACAAACATCAAGTGGACATCTTCCAAATGACTGAAGCTTTGCAACAGGTTTAGGGGAATGTGGACCCAAATAAAACAGTAATTTAAAGAAGTATCAAGCATTTTAAGGAAGACCTCAAAGACAGATTCAAGGCAGAAAGGTTATGGTGACTGTTTTGGTGTCTATCAAAAAGAAGACATTTTGATAGACTTTGCTCAAAGTACACAGGATGAACATTGGGGCTTATTAGGAAGCAGTTTTAAGAAAATGGGAAACTGAATTCAAGAGAAAAACGCCAGGCAAGTTGCACTGAAGAATTCTTTTACATCATGACAGTTCACCTGTTCATTCTTCAAGGATGTTAAGTGCTGCTTATAAGAATTTTGTTGGGAAATCTTACCTCATCTACCCAACATGTCTGATTGTGTCCCTTTAGATTTCATTTTGTTTCCAAAACTGAAAGAACATTTCAAAGAAACATGACTTGATTTCCTTGAGAATGCCAAAACTGCTATTTTGACGTGGTGTAAATTTAAGAGCAAAGAATTCTATGGGGAAAAGTTAGAGAGGGAAATACCACTTTCAAAAGTGTATATACCTAGATGGAGGATGTCAAGAAACAATAGCTTAACATTTTGATATCTTTACTTAATAAAGGTTTCTATGATTTTATAGCAATACTTTTTTTTTTTTTACTTATCCTCATATATGTGGTATAATCTACAGCTGATATTTATATAAAAGTTCATGGGGGCATTGGAAAATGTTTTTATGGTGCTTTCAAACAAATATTAAAATGAAAAGATCTCATGCTTTAGGGAAACCAGGATAATAATCAGGAGAAGGCCAATGAGTCAGTAAGGCAGAGTGGGAAACAGGGTTGTTCCTCCTGCTATTACTTAAGAGAAAAGGAAAACCAAGAAAGGAGAAAGGAAAACACACAAGAAACAAGATCAAACTTAAGACAGTACCCTTCCTTCAATCACCAATGCAAAGTGAAGAACTAACTACAGACAACCCTTCAGAAAATTAATTTTTTAAGGTGTCCTCAAGTATTCATTATAAGTAACGGCAAGAAAGGATAGAACATAGAGTGATTATGCCCTGGCTAATATCTCTATACCAAGCACTTACTTAGATAAGTAAATATCAAAGGCAAGCATGCCATGATTATTATTTTAATCATATTAAAAACAAAACCTGACCAAAGTAGTCTCTAACACATAGAAACACCGACAGAGTGATAGACAGCAAAGAATTTGAAAAGGGATATACAAATTAGTTAACTGTAATTTTTCTGGTGAGGTTTGAGTAATCTATGTATGTTCTTTATTCACTGGATTTTTTTTTTTTTTTTTTGTAATGAGAATCTATTGTCATTGTCATAAAATATTAGGACAATCAATTACTCTAAATTAGATATAAACAGGGTGAATTCTTCCTTATTCTGAAGCAATAGATGAATATGCATTAATAGTTTTATTCCTAGCTACCAAACTTCTATCCTAAACAGGAAATGTATATTTGAAGATAATCAACAGAATATAGTTTTCTGACCATCACTTGTCAGTCAGTTTGTTTTACTGTGGTGACTTGCATGTTGCTGTGATTCTGGAAGCTATGTCTCGGGTATTTTAAATACCTGCAGGGTCACCCATAGTAGAGAGGTTTCATTAAGCTGAGCTTCCAGATGAAGATAGACTAGGAGGGAGAGATGGACTACTACTTCAGACTATTTAGTCACTGAAGACCTTATGAAAAGCAGTGGAACACCCTCAGCACCAAATTACTGAATATCAAAACACAATCAGGAGTAAGTACAAAAATTACACAAAACAACACTCTATTTTACCATGTGCAATGCACTTTGTTATTTTCTATTCTTTGTTGTTTTAATGCTAGTCACAGTTCACCTCCACAGCTCGTCTGTGAGTTTGTCTTACTGTGGTGGCTTGTGAGTTGCTGTGATTCTGGAGGCTATGTTGGATATTTTAAATACTGGCAGGGTCACTCAAGGTGCACAGGTTTCAGTTGAGCTTCCAGATGAAGACAGATTAGAAAGAACAAGAGATAGACTACTTCCAAATATTTAGTCATAGAAAACCTTACGTATAGCAGTGGAATGTTGTCAGCACCAGATTATTGAATACTGAAGCATGATGAAGACCACCAGAATACTGTCAAATATAGTACTGGAAGAGGAGTCCCTCAGGTTGGAAGGCACTAAAATGTGACAGGGGAAGAGCTGTCTCTGCAGAGTAGAGTTGACTGTAATGATACGAAAGGCAATGTTTAAGAGTAATGCTGTTGTTGTTAGGTGCCATGGAGTCAGTACCGACTCATAGCAACCTTATGTACAAGAGAATGAAACACTGCACAGTCCCGGGCCAACCTCACAACTGTTGTCATGCTTGAACCCATTGATGC